TGCTCCCTCAGCCTCCCCATGTGCTCCAACCCAGTGACCATGTCAAAGAGTTCCAGCAGGGTTTGAGTTGGAAGGGACCTTTAAAGCCCCTGTGGGGGTGAGCTTTCCCAGAGAAGCTGGGTGGTGTGACTCTTCGGGCTGCCACTTGGCCGTGGTTGTGTGAGGCACACAGGAACATGGAGCAGATGCATCCTGTCACACAATATTGTTCAGCTGCTCACCAGAAACCAGCAGCTTCCTCCAGGTTGCCCAGAACAATCAGCTCCCTGTGAGGAGTCCCAGTACAGAGGCAAGCTGACTTTAAGAGTTGCCTTTGCCTTGATCCCTGCCAGTGATATCCTAAGTTAGACTCCTCTGAATTGCCTTTGGAAGAGGCACCGGGGGGCCCGGAAGCCGAGTGTCCGGATTGTCAGAGCAGGAGCGAGGTGATGTGAACGCGCCCCGGGGAGCCGAGCGTGCCCGGGGAGCCGCGGTGCCGAGGCTTTGTGCAGGAGGATCAGGCCCCTTCCCCGCCATTGATGTGGTAATGGCTGCCGCGCTCGGGAGTGCGGCTCCGGCAGGGACGCGCTGATCGCTGTCGGAAAGCCGGGCTGCGGGGCTCTCCATGGAGCTCTTCTGCAGTCCATAAATTAGTGCCCAGTGCCTGTGAGCGAGAGAGCGGCTCAAATGATGAGAAAGCAGCGTGTTCTCGGGGCGTTCTCGGCGTGTTCTCGGCGTGTTCTCAGGCTCTGCCTGTGGGTGGTGGCCGTGGCCAAGTGACCTGCTGTTTTCACAGAAAACTTGCTCAGGATGAACTGGAGGGAAAGTTGGCCTCTTTTATCCAAGGGAGAGGATTTCCCCCCTCTACCCTGCCCTCCACACGTGGAGCACCGTGTCCAGATCTGGGGTCTTCAGCACCACAGCAGCACTGAGCAGTTGGAGAGTCCAGAGGAGGCCACAGAGTTGGTCTGGAGCCCCTCTGCTCTGAAGCCAGGCTGGTTGAGCTGGGGGTGTCCAGCCCGAGGCAGAGAAGCTCCATGGAGACCTTATTGTGGCCTGTTGAGACTTGAAGGGGGTTTATGGGGAAGAGGGAGAGGGACTTTACATGGGTAGACAGTGACAAGACAAGGGGAAATGGCCTTAGGAGGCCAGGATTAGACATTAGGGAGAAGTCCTTCCCTGTGAGGGTGGTGAGGCCCTGGCACAGGGTGCCCAGAGCAGCTGTGGCTGCCCTTGGATCCCTGGAAGTATCCAAGGCTAGGTTGGATGGGGCTTGGAGTAACCTGGGATAGTGGAAAGTGTCCCTGCCCATGGCAGGGGGGTTGGAACTGGATGGGCTTTAAGATCCCTTCCAACCCAAACCATTCTGGGATTCCAGGATCTCTGTAGGCTCTCCAGAAGACAGGATCCCCCTCCCCTTAGGGAACAGGCTGTGGCCCTGGTCTGAGCTGGTTCTGAGGGTCCCAGCTCCACCCTTATGCTTCAAGGAGTTCCTTTCAGTGACATCTGATGGTGACACTGCAGCATCTCTCCATGCAGCACAAATGATGTGATGCATGCACAAACTTTGAAAAAGAAACCTTGAGCACAAATACAATAAAGTTGCAGGGACATGTTCAGGGAATGTTTAAGCACAGGTGTCTGTACCTGCCACACCACAGGGAACTCAGCAGTCAGTGCCCTCCACTGCTGACAGGGGTTTGTCCTTTTCAAGCCTTGCTTTCTTTTTCCCCTTTTAAAATTGCTGATTCTGAAATATTCTCCTTGACATTTTCTCTACACTAGCAGGAGGGGGTTTTGTTGATTCTGGAAGCACTTGAAAACAGGGGAAATTGGCCAAGACATTCAAAAGTTAAATTAAAATCTGACTCTGCAAATAGCCAATGTCAGTGGTGTGAATAACGTCCCTCTTTGGGAAAAGATGTTGAGGCAAAGGGCAGAATTGGCTGGGACTGAAATGCAGCTTAACACATACAGATAAAACTGATCTAGGGTTAGATAGAGTGATTTCTAAGGGAGATATTGGATATTTGGTTTCAAAATTATTGGTGCCAATTGAGAAATGGTTGATGGGTTAAGGTCAGGACATTGCTGAGCTTGCCCTGTGTGGTTGGTGTGAGCTTTGTGAAGCCTTGGCGGTGAGAACAGGATTTACGGGTAGGAAATCTGCAGCCATCACTGTGGAAAGCTTTAATCATGGGTTATTGTTGGTGTCAGGGGTTTCTGTGTGCTCCTATGGATTAAAGAATGTATGATATGTCTAGAATTCCAAGAGGGATGTAAACAAGCCTCATACTCTATAGAATCTTTTCCTGCTCGGAGGTGTTGCTGATGTTGATCAGAACACCCGTGCCAGTTTCCTCTTGAGAAGTGTTCATTTACTGACAGCAAAGCACATGAAATGTCATCCCTGGTGAAACATTGCTCTCTGCATCTGTGCCCGCATCTCTGGGGCCAAAGTTTCCACATTCTTGCCTCTTGCAGAGCTGTTGCGGTGGAAGCCTTTCCCCTTTAGAGCAATGTTGGGGTTTTTTCTTTTTTTTCAGTAAAAAGACAAACAAAGCTATTTTCTGTTTCAGAATGCAAGATGGGATATCTCTGGAGAGATTAACCTTCTTTACAGAGTTGTTTTTTGTGGTTGAAAGAAGAAATCTTTTATCATTAAAATAATATTTAAAAAATCTGCACCTCATTATTTCCAGAAATAAAGCTGCCACATTGAGATTTATTAAAAATTGACTCAGGGTGAACTGAAGAGAGCTCCTACACCAAAGAGTTTGTGTTTTAGAAAAAAGACAGGAAGACAATAGGATGGACACAGGGGGAGTAAGAAGAGGGAGTTGCTCTGCAATGTTAGTAAGAAAATATGTTCTTTTTGGGAAGGACTCTGAGAAGTGGCTTGGCAGATGTGCAGGAGGGTTTAACTGAGCCCCTCTTCACGTGTTCAGTGCTTGGCTGAGCTCAATCACAGAAGGCAAAGTGGGGAGAGAGGCACAAAGGTCAGGACTGGCATGGCCAGGGGAAATGTAGAGGGCAAGAAGCATGAGCACGAGAATGTGTCCTGTCCTTTTCCTGCCCTGCCCCTTCCCTCCTGTACCTGAGCCCCTGGGAGCTGCTGGACCCCTGTCCTGTTCCCCCTGGCTCCTGCTGTGCCCCAAGCCCCTTGGGAACAGCAGTAAAACTGTGCCCCCACATATCCATGAGAAGAGCTGTGGTTTGGCATTTGGCAGAGTCTCCGGGGTGCAGACAGAGTGCTGAGGCAGCAGTTTTTGTGAGCAGGCTGCTGCTACTTGGGGTGCCAGATCCCTCCAAGCTGTTCTGAGCCTCTGCCCCCTTCTGCACCTCTGGGTGGGGGTCAATCTTTTTTTCTCCTCGGCTTTCTGTTTCCCTTCCTTTTTACCTTGGGGCCATCAACAGATTTGTTTCCTGATCTCAGTGTCTGCTTTGAAGACAAATTCTCACCTTTTAGTTACTGAAGGAATGTGAGGAATGAGGCCCCACGGCCACGGCCTCCCACCCAGCTGGGAGCTGTTCCGACACGCTGGGCAGAGGGAGCAAGGTGCTGCCCTCCCTGGGAACAGGCTCGGGCCCTTGAGCAGTGCGGGTGGGCAGCGCAGGGCAGATGGCAGCAGCGTGGGCAGGGTGGGGATGGACTTCCAGTGCAGATCTGAGCATTTCACCCCTCTCAATTCTTGTTTGTAGTGCCAGTCCTAGAGCTACAGGTCCTGGGCCACCATATAGGGTTTCAGCTTGTTTTAGCAGTTTTCTTGACAATATTAACTTCAAGGGCAGATCCATGACTAGGTCAGAGAGTAGAAGTTGTTACGAGGCTGTGGGGGCTCCGGGATGTTTGCAGCACATGTGGGCTGGGGGGGAAGCTCCCACCCCATGCAGCTGGTGTGACCTTCGGTGTTACTGTGTTTGTATTTCCTCTTACACCTGCACCTCTCAGAGGTGGACAAGGCAGAAGAGCTCTGGTGCATCCAGCTGTCTTCAACTGTCACTGCCCCTTGCAAGTGGCTGCTGACCTCTGCCATGATGGGCACTGTGCCATGCTCCGGCCAGAGCTGGGGTTTGGGTTTGAACCACAGGCAGGGTGAGTTTGTGCTGGTGTCCCCAGGCTCTGCAGTGGGCCAAGGCACTTCCCTTCCTTCAGGGAACAGCTGGGAGCAGGGAATGTCCTAAAGTGCCCTCCCTGTTTGCAGGTGTGAACATAGGGAGTGACACAGTGACACCTCAGAGTGCATTTGTCCCAAAGCAATGATCCACTTCTCACCTTCACAGGGGCCTTGAACAGACAGAGAGAAGAACTCCTTTATGCAATCATTGTTCACCCCAGCTGGATGTGGGACTCACACAGCACATTTCATCCAGCTGAATTCCAGTGCAGCGTGACACCACTGCCAGCCTGGGCTCCACCCATGGCTGTGCCTGCTGCCAGGGGTCCCGGACCCCCCATCTCACAGCACTGGGGGCAGGAGGCTTGGGGGTGATGTCAGCCTTTTCCTGGCTCTGAACACCACTCAGGAAAGCTTTGCTGATGTGCCCTCCCTGCCCTACGGATGACTGGCAATCTCATCCATAGTCACCTATGGATGACTGGCAACTGCAACGATCCGTGCAAATACTTCCAAGGATGGAGCAGACTCCACACCACTGTCTGCCCTGGAGAGACAGGGAATGTCTATCCTAAGAAAGCCGTCCCGAGAAGATGCTCTGGGACAGCAGGTCTAAAGCCCCTCTGCTCTGGAGACAGTCTGGGAGAGCTGGGGTGCTCACCTGGAGAAGGCTCCAAGGAGACCTTTCAGTACTTAAAGGGGGCCAATAAAAAAGATAGGGACGGAGTTTTTAGCAGGACCTGTTGCAACAGAAGTTGAGCTGACAGTTTTGAATTAAAACAGGGGAGATTCAGACTAGATATAAGGAATAAGGTTTTTACAACGAGGGTGCCTCCTAGGAGTAGGGGAAACCCCCATGATGGAAGCTGCACTGACAGTCTGCTTTCCCCCCTGCCCTTGCAGAGCACAGTTGGAGAGAACCGGTGGCTCCAAGGACACCTGGTGCAGTCGCTGCTCCGTCACTGCGACGCGCGTGGGGCGGCGCGGTGGGCGCAGCACTGCCAGGTGCCTCCCGAGATGCTGCCTCAGGCTGTGGCTGAGGAGCTTCAGAAGCTGCACATCCAGGACAGGTAAATCTCCTGTTTGGTGCCTTTTCCATGCAGATTGCTTGTCATACAAACACTGTATATTTGCTTAAAATTGTCTGCTGTGATGTGTCCATGGGGACAGAAGTTTGCAAAGACTTCCCCCATATACTTGAATCCCATTGTGGCCCTGCATATACTGCATTTGTTTGTCATAATCCTGGAAATGTCTGTGAAAGGGGCATTTTAAACTCATCCTGAGTACACAGAAGCTCTGTGAAATTGCTTCGTGCTGCTGCAGGTTCTTACACTTCCTCTGCCAGATCAACAATGCAAATATTCATCTATTTTACTGAGGTGATTGCAGATCTGTCAAAGTTTTACTGATTATTATTTTTTAATGCTGATGATTTTGGGAAGGTCTCACAGATGGCCTTGAACAGTTCATGTTCAGGGATCCTAGTTTTGCGGATCTGCTCTTTCTTCTCGTGCAGATCTGCACTTGTTCAAGCACTGTGTCACCTCAGGAAATACAACACAGATGTAATCACCATCAAAACACTTCTCCAGAGGGTCCAAGGCTTTTTTGGAGCACAGGAAACTCTTGTCGGTCTTGGACATGCTACTGCCTTGCTCCAAAGCACTGCCAGAGCTGCCCTCCTCCTCCTCCTCCCTCCTGAAGCCACACAAGCTGCCAGTTGGGAGCCAGGAGGTTTTTCCATGAGGGATAAGCCCTCAAAACACAAAGGGGTGATTACAGGTGTGTGGCTGAGCCACAGCCTGTGCATCCAGAGATAAAACCCATCACTACATCTCTGTGCTGTGGGAATCCTGTGCTGTGGAGGGAAGGCAGGTGAGGGTGTGCTTTGCCCTGTGTGAGGAGCTGGGATGGATGAATAAGCCCCTTTGTACTGCAGTTTACTCATCCAGTCATGATACCAGCTGTGGTAGCTGCTATAAAGTCAGCAGAGCCATGAAACCCCATAAAACAGTCTGGCTGCCCTGTCTGTTGAGTAACACAGCCACAGGTTCCCAGAGGGAGTTCACACTGCACACAACAAGGTGGCACCAGCATATAAATGACATCATCTGTCTCTGGTCACACCACACAGGGCTCCTGAGCTTTGCAGGTGAGACTATTCCTGGAGACCTGAGGCTGCACACCTTCATTAAATATTTTACACAAATATTGACTTCCCCATGCACACAAACCCACAGGTAAGAGTGTTTGTGCAGGGAGAGCTGCTCTGCTGCAAAATTGGGCACACAGCCTCCCAAACATAAGGTTACTATTAGTTTCCCAAATCATGAACCATTTCAAGTCTCTATGGGAAAGAGACTATCCAGAAATGTGTGATCTCTCCAAGGGAGCTGGATCTTTTTGATTAGTTTCTTTTCTCTGAGAAAAAGCTGAGTGTCATGGGGAAAGAGAGGATCAGGGTGAATTAAGGGTGGTAAAACTTAACCCTCTTGCTCAAATCCAGGATTTCCTCCTGGCTTTCAATGGCTTCAAACTGTTGCATCTGATTCTGTGTAGGGTAGAAGAGGTCACAAAAGCAGATAATTGTGAGGCCAGTAAGAAGAAGGACTATTACCAGCTTCCTATTCCACGGGAAAATATTCACTTTCTGCAGACATGGGAGGAGACGCGGCAGTGCTGGGAGAAGGTGCTGCAGGTGAGCGTTACCTGGGATTGGCCTGGCAGGGTCAGGGAACTGGAACTCCATGTCAGGCTGAGACACAGAGTTGGATGTGGCCACTGCCATCCACTGCCTACCTCTCCAAGCCAAGAGCAGCTGCTCCTTTGGGCTGGTCTGATTTGGGAAAGATGTTAGGAATTGTGTCAGGGAAGTTTCCCATGGGTGATGCAGGTGCTATGAGAGTTCCCTGTGTCTGTGGCAGTTTGCACAAAAAGCTGCAAGTGCTGTGGAGGAAATGCTCATGTCCTGGACAGATTCTCCAGGCTCCTCTCAAGAACAGGCAGGCTCTGGGTGCAGAAAGTGTCTGTGTTGCAGCCTGGGCAGGTCGTTGGTGTGGACATGGAGTGGAAGCCTTCCTTTGGCATGGTGGGGAAGCCCCGCGTCGCCCTTCTGCAACTTGCACTGAAGGATGAGGTGTTCCTGTTGGACCTGCCACGGCTCCTTGAGCAAGCTGAGGCTGAGGGGGAAAAGGAGAAGCTTCCCCATTTCATCCAGATGCTCTATTCAGATGCAGCCATCACTAAACTAGGTAACCCCCCTCTCTCTTCCCCACTTCGGGACTTCACACAGACTGTTTTGGTATTTTTGTCATTCCTAGATCCTCTTGGTATTGTCATTCCATAAATCCACTTGCCATGGAACCAGCTTTTGTAGCCCTGAGTGTTCAGGCACTGCCAGGCCAGGAAACAGTGACTAGTGTAACTGGGACTGATAGAAATATAGGATTAGAGAACCACAGAAAATCCTGAGCTGGAAGTGACCCACCAGGATCACCCAGCCCAGCCCCTGCCCTGCCCAGACCCCCCAACAAGCCCACCCTGGGCATCCCTGGCAGCGCTGTCCAAAGGCTCCTGGAGCTCTGGCAGCCTCGGGGCCGTGCCCATTCCCTGGGGAGCCTGGGCAGTGCCAGCACCCTCTGGGGGAAGAACCTTGCCCTGAGCTCCAGCCTGACTCTCCCCTGACACAGGTCCATGCCATTATATCTCCCCATTTCAGGTCAGATCCAGGACTCCTGATATAACTTGCACTCTCAGACTTGGGATTGTTCTAGGTCTGTACAGATCCCCAACTAACACCCAGTCTTCAATGTTCAGGTAATTCTGGTGGGCAGAGCTGTCTGGGTGTTCTGTCCCTGTCCCAGAGCTGCTGTGCTGGACACCAGAGATCTCTGAATTACCATACTTGGTTTTTGGAGGCTTTTATCAGGAACTGCTAAACCTGGGTTTCAAAGGCAAATTCATAAGTGCCTTTCCCAGATTTTAAGTAAGTTGATCTTAAACTCAGAATTTTTCATGCACCTCTCTTTTCCCTTGATCTGCAGGAGTGTCTCTTGGGAACAGAAGAGACAGGACCCAGTCTTGTTCCCTGTTTGAACAGTCTTCCCACCAATGCTTATAAATATTTTGTCAGTGTTTTGACTCTGAAGGAGAAGAAGCTGCAGTACATTAAGCGTGATTTGAGCTTTCCTACCTGTGTGATTTGGGCTTTTTTTGTCTCCAGGTTATGGGATGTCTGGAGATCTCAGCAGCCTTGCAGCCACATGTTCTGCTTTAAAAGACACAGAGAAGCAAATGCAAGGTGTGGTGGATCTTCTTGCAGTGGACAAACAAGTAAGGATAAACACATGGAGATGTGGGAAATGGTGTCTCCTGCATGTGCTGGTGGGTAATTGTCCTGAATCCACAGCACTGTCTGTTTGCATCCTGGATTGGCAGGGAGATGGCTGCATGAGTAAAGAGACCATTTCCTCCAGATGGTTTGAGGTGTTGGGATTCTGTAAAGGAAGATAGAAGTATTTTGTTTTCATCAACTAAAATGTTAAAGCTTGTGATACTGACAGCTTTTTCATAGTCTTAATAAAAGCTGTGAAAAGCTCTTGGAGACCCAGCTCCATTCAACCAGGACAAGGTTTCTCAGCACAAGTTATACTTAGGAAGAGGAAGTTCTTGTACAAATTCTGCTACTCCAAGGCCATGCATTATTGAAGCAGATATGGTGGAGTTAATGATTTGTACAGAACTCTGATGTTCCTAGGAGGGTTGCTGGTAGGTGCAGCACAGGAATTACTGGTCAGCTGAAGCACATCTGTCCCTGAATTTGCACAGAGGAGCTTTCAGCAATCTGCAAAAATGTTCAGCACAACCATTTTAATGGGTAAAATGTACAGAGTGTTTTTGAGGCTGTGGGTTGAGGTGAAGCAGATCTTTGGGATTGATAGCTTAACCTGGGAAGTGCTGTAGGGGCTGACATAGCTGCCAACAGCCATTGCCTCAGTTTAGGCTGAGAAATGGCAGCTGCAGAGGGGGCTGCTGCCCAGAGTGTCACAGGAATGCCTTTTCCCACTGGAGCTAGGAGGAGGAAGGTGCTGAACTGCCACTGCTGGTCCTTTATTGCATCGATGCCCAGCAGCCTACAGCATGGTGAGCACCCTGCAGACCCCTAAGGAGCCTCATCCCAGCCCTGCTGTACAAGAATGCCCTTTTTTCCCTTCCTTGTCTATGGAAGAGATTTCTCTCCAGCAAGTGTGTCTGTTAAAGAAATAACCCAACGCCATGTTTATCTCGTGCCATCCCAGCTCTTGGCTGAGGGCTGGGGTTCAACATGCCAGGCACGAGATGGATGTGATAGGGTTGTGCCTGGCCCCACCAGCTGGAACAGGAGGTGGTTTGGGAGCTGCTTCATAACCAGGTGGTTTCTGTCTTTTTGTTTCCATCAGCTGCAGTGGGGGAAGGACAGCCGGAAGGTCGATGGACTGTCCCCGGAGCACAGGCACGAGGAGAGAGGGGTCAGGCAGCCAGAGAAGGGACTCAGTCTCCTGGTGCAGCATGTGCTGGGGAAGCCTCTGGATAAAACAGAGCAGCTGTCAAACTGGGAGAAGCGGCCGCTCCGGGAGGAGCAGATCCTCTATGCAGGTCTGGCCCTGGCTGGGTACTGCAGGTGCCCAGGCCAGGCTGTATTTGGCTGTTCTGTCCCCAGGAAAGTCATTAAGTAGCAGAGGAAGAAAATGGCTTTGCAGATTAGTTCCTGTTCAAAGGAGTCAGCACATGGTTTGTTTGTCCTTTTGAGGACATGACTTTAATGGTTGAAGTTTAAACTGTCCAGTGATTCATTATTTCCCTTATGAAGGAATTCCTGTGCTTTGCAGATTTTGTCTGATGAAACATCACCTCAGTGGAAACTCCTCTCAGTAACTGAAAGGAGGAAAGTCCACTTCCTTCTGCCTCATTTCACAGCCTTCCTGGGAAACAAATGCTGTATTCATTTGTCACAGTGAAGTGCTTGTTATAGCCGGGTTTGAAATGGGCAGGTATGGTGTCAGAAACTGCAGCACAGACTCAGGGCTGTGGAGGGACCTGTAGAGTTTATTGCTGATTACCCCAGAGTCAGAAGTCTGGGTCTAAATCTTCTCCTCGTGCATCAAAGGACAGTCTGCTGATGCAAACCAGCCCTTTGTTAAATTCGACTATCCTTGAAGCTGACACGGTTCTCACAAAAGTTAATCACTGGGACTTGTCAGACTGGCTGGGAGAGTTCTCCCATTGCCGTTGCAGGGAGCAGCAGCACACGGCAGTGAATGTGGGCAGGTGATTGCAAACAGCTCGGGCAGTACCTGCTCAGATGTTGTATCTCCTGGGGAAGTTCCCTTCCTGTCAAGAGGAATGATAAGGAGCTGTGGGCAGGCTCGGGGACAATGGTGAGGAACAGGGGCTGGCTAGAGCTACCTGGTGGTGGTTGGAAGAGCCACACTGCAGTTTACATTGGGTTATTGGGTTAGAGTGGAGATGGCAGAGCCTGTCTTTAGGAGCTGCTGCCTTGACCCCCGTGACTGTGGGTTCATCTGTGATGCTCATGTGAGTCAGTCCTGGAGCTTGAGGGTATGGCTAGAGGGAGTTGCAGCTTCACAGTTGTTCACAGCGGCTTTTACAAAGGTGGGGGCTCTTCCTTGCCTCAGGAAAACCTCTGGTTTACTTTTGAATGAGCCTCATATGAGCTGAGGCTCACATTCTCTTCCCTGCAGCCTCAGATGCCTACTGCTTGCTGGAGATCTATGAGAGGCTCTGCAAGGACCCCGAGAGCTTCAGTCTGGGTTCAGACCTGACAGACAGTCTGGTGGGAAAACAGAGCAAAAAACCCAGGGCAAAAAAGCAGCTGAATAAACAAGAAGCACCATCACCTTCTGGACAGGTTTGTAAACATCTTCAAAGAGCTGCTTGTTGCTCAAGACCCCTGCAAATCACATGCTGCTGCTCTCAGTCACACCATTCACTGTGCACGGCTGTTCTCAGGACTCTTGCATCAAACATGCTCCTCACCCCTCCCTCCCACGACACTGCTCTCTCCTTGGCCTGCCTGCGTCCAGCTTTCCCTGCTCTTTGAGTTTCACTTGCCTTTGCACAGTGTGGGTGCAGATCTGTGTGCTAAGCCCAGTGAGCCTTGCTCATGGAAATGCTCCTTCCACATTTTGGGTTTGGATTCTGTGGCCAAGGTTTCAAAACTCTTACTTCCTTACTTTTCCTTTATACTGAGCTTCCACACCTTGCTTTCACACTGGGAATATCTCCTTTATTGTGTCTGGAGTAAAAGTCTGAAAAGTTAAAAGCAAATGATCCATCAAAAATGCCTTTCTGCTGAAGGCTTGTCTCTGCCTCCTTGCCTACCACCACATTCCATGAGAGGCCTCTCCCAGAAGTTTGTCTTGTGGCAGAGCCTTAAAACTCCACCAGAGCTGTGCAACTCTGCTTAAGTATCTTGAAATGTGACTGGTGCCTCTCAGTAATAACATTTTACTTTTAAAATGGAGCCATTCAGTGGTTTGTGCACCTTTGGAAACCTTGGCACAAATCTCATTTTGTTATTGCCTGAGAAGACCCACTGTGTGTATCTGTGTATCCTGAGGAGCCCCAAGTGTGTGTGGATCTCCTGAAGTCCGTGCCCCTTTCCATGGCTGGGCTGAGATGCTGCTGACTGTGTCCACCTGTGAGTAAATGTGCCTTGAGCAGGCAGCAGAACACTTAGCTGCTCCCTGAGCGTTGTGTTCATGTGAATGTTGTGTGTTACAGCAGAGCTGGGTGGCTGCTGCAGAGGTGGGAAAAGTGAGCACTTCAGGCTTCAATCACCTTGGAAACCCATGGGTCATCCTTGTGTTCTGTACAGTCAGATTCATCAGCCGAGAGGCAGTTGGTAAAACCTGGACTGGGACACCAAAAACAGCAGACTTGTTCTGACTACATCCTGCAGGACTCCAAGCTCTCTTTCCCAGTGTTTCCTTGTCTGAAGTGGAGCTAATGACTCTATTCTCCTTTATAAGCTTTTTGCTCTCTGCTGGCATGAAATGTGAGAAAAAAGCTCTGTATGACAGTGCTGGCCACTGGATAAACACTGGCTGAGAGCCAGCTGCAGCTCCTGCACATCTGCTTGAACAGCAGCAGCAGCAGCCAGGGGTAGTGTCTCCAACTGCCTCAGCTTCAGGGGGCAGCTCCATCCCTTGTCACCGTGCTCTGGTGTCCCAGCTGCATTGACCAGGGTCCTGCAGGAGCTGGTGACAGCCCAGTCTGCCCAGTGCTGCAGAGCTCTGGGTGCAGAGACCAGCTGCTGGGAACTGCAGCATCACACCAGTGTTGCTCCTGGACCTGAGCTGGTTCCCATGGAGAGCCCAGGTGGAGCTGCCTGGTGTGCCACAGCATTCCCAGCTTGGGGCCAGCTCCTGCAGAGCTGATCTGCAGTGCTGGCTCCCTGCATAGCTGCTGGCAGTGTCCTTCAGTCATCCCAGCTGATTCAAGTTCCTGGAGTCAAAAGCTGGACATTGGAAGTTCCTTAATAACTTCCCTTCTCCATGAATTTAGCTATTGTACTTCTGGGAGCCTCCCAAAGCCAAAGTCCTCCAAGTGCAGGAACTCCCCCAGCAGCAGACATTTGAAATAAAACAAACAGAATTCAGGCACTGCCTATTTTTAACCTTCCAAAGATAACAGAGTTGACGTGGTTGCTTTGTCTACCTGTTTCTCCCTTTGTCCCAAGTCATAGCTTTGGCACGTGCTTATTAATTACAGACTAATTTAGAGGAACAGCAGCCTTGACTCTGTTTCTGTGACTTCTTGAAGATGAATGTCTGTGCGGAGCACTGGAGGCCAGGTTGGCTCTTCTCCAGGGAAAGGCTGCAGGTCCCTGGATCAGGTGGCCAGCGGGTCAGTGAGAGAATGGCAAATTCAGAATTAGCCCCATCATGTTCTTCCCCCTGCCCAGGTGGTGATGGCAATGTGGAAAGGATGGGAAGGAGGATCTAGAGGTGCTGCAGAGCATGGGGAGGTATTGACACAGGTGGAAGGAGGCAGTTGGATGTGCATGGTGGGTGAACTAAAGCAGGGAGTAAAAACACAAAACTGGGAATCAGACTTCTGCTCCTTATGGATCTCCTGCCTTTCTCTAGGAATGCCAAGGACCCAGAATGGAGCCCTCACGCCCCCCTGCCCCCATCTCCCCCCAGGAGTTCAGCGTGGTCTGTGACAACATGCTGCAGGGCCTGGGGCGCTACCTGCGCTGCCTGGGCGTGGATGTCCGGCTGCTGGACAATGAGGATGACCACAGGAAAGCTGCTGAGGTGAGTTCACAGCTCCTGTGTCCATGGGGACATGATGGGACTTACTAGGAAGCTGCACTGGTGCTCAGGCTGCAGGAGCTGCCCCGTGGGTCCCTCCCTTTTCTGATTCCCAGCTCTTTGGGTCACCCTGAGCTCTGTCAGGACCCACCAGGATCATTGACAACAGCTCCTGGCCCTGCCCAGACCCCCCAACAAGCCCACCCTGGGCATCCCTGGCAGCGCTGTCCAAAGGCTCCTGGAGCTCTGGCAGCCTCGGGGCCGTGCCCATTCCCTGGGGAGCCTGGGCAGTGCCAGCACCCTCTGGGGGAAGAACCTTGCCCTGAGCTCCAGCCTGAGCCTGCCCTGACACAACTTCATGCCATTCCCTCAGGTCCTGTCCCTGGTTGCAGAGAGCAGAAATCAGTGTCTGCCTCTCCTTTTCCCCTCACTAGGAAGTTGTAGCTGCAATGTAGCTCCTTTTCTCCAGGCTGAACAGACCAAGTCTCAGCCACTCTCATACAGCTTCCCCTCAAGGTCCTTCACCATCTTTGTTGCCCTCCTTTGGACACTCTCTAATGGCCTAATGTCTTTCTTATTTTGTGGTGCCCAAAACTGCCATCAGAGCTCGAGGTGAGGCCACCCCAGCCCAGAGCAGAGTGGGACAATCCCCTCCCTCGACCAGGCCGTGATGCTGGGCCTGATGCCCCCAGGACACAAATGTCCCTCCTGGCTCTAGGGCACTGCTGACTCACATTCAACTTTCTGTCAACCAGGACCCCCAGGTCCCCTCCTGTGACGCTGCTCTCCAGTATCTCATTCCCCAGCCTGTTTGTATATCCAGGGTTGCCCCATCCCAAGAGCAGAATGAGTGGGACAATCCCCTCCCTCGACCAGGCCGTGATGCTGGGCCTGATGCCCCCAGGACACAAATGTCCCTCCTGGCTCTAGGGCACTGCTGACTCACATTCAACTTTCTGTCAACCAGGACCCCCAGGTCCCCTCCTGTGACGCTGCTCTCCAGCATCTCATTTCCCAGCCTGTTTGTATATCCAGGGTTGCCCCATCCCAAGAGCAGAATCTGTCACTTTCCCTTGTTGAACTTCATCTGGTCGGTGATTGCCCAGCTTTCTGATTTGTCCAGGTCTCCCAGAGGTCCTCCCTGCCTTTGAGGGAGTCAACAGAGATATCCAGGCCACACAGTGTGTGCTATCAAATGTGCATGGATCACCCAGCCTGGTGTGCAGGATGTTTCCTCTTCAGATGTCTGTTTGGCCTGAATCCGGGGCAGGCTCTAACTTCTGCAGAAATAATTAATATCTCCTCCCTGCCAAACTTGCACAAGTTATTTAAACAAACCAGTTCTCAGTGCCTCCCCCCAGAGCCCTGTCTCCACTTCTCATCCCCATTCCTTATCGTGCCACGGACAGGATGTTTGACATTGCTTTCTCTATGGTGACCAGACAAACATCCTTTCACTATCAAAAGCCCTTGGAGTGTTACTGTATTGCAGAGCCTTTGATCTGGGTTTGGATAATCAAAGATAAAAATAGACTCCTCCCACCCTGTTTGATATCTGGCTGGTCCTGATTGAATCAATGTTGCATGTTGACCACCCTACGACCAAAAACTTGGGAATGTTATTGCAAAGGCCAGCAGAGGGTTTGGATCCTGGTCACTGAGTACAAGACAGATGGTTTGGGTGTTGTCCCAGCATAGTCTCAAACTGGTGTCACTAGGAACACCTAAGAGTGTACAGCATTAGTGTTTGCTCTTCATTAAAGTCTTTTCACTCAAATGATTTATCAGTCATACTATACTTCTCCTTGTGCCAAGAACTCCTGCAACACCTGGCATTTGCTCCTTATTGTTCTCATTCCTTTTCTTTGTTAAAATGGCTTCAGGTATTGGTGAGCAGATGGGTCTGGTCCTTCACCCTCTTTTATTTGGGATCAAGCTTAAAAGCCTGAGAACTTCCTCAGCTGTGCTTGGGCAGTTATGGATTTTATTTATTTTTTTTTGTTTAGGCTAGCACATGTGGCAGGAATTGGTTTGGCAACCCCCATTCCCATGTGTTGTCCTGTGTTATACTTCGTGTTGTGCTGTTGTTATTGACTAAATGTTTTATCTTGGACTTGTCATGGTGAGTTTGTCATGCCAGATCTGCAGAGGTGTGAGAGCAGGACCTCTGGCACCACGATCCACTGGATCCTCCCTGGCTGACCAGATTTATTGGTGGAGTTGGCAGTGCTGGGTTTGTGGTTGGACTTGATGACCTGGGAGGTCTTTCCCAGCCTTAATGATTCTGTGATTCTGTGGTTCTGTTTATCTGCTGTGAGATGCTACCAGCTTGCAGTCTCTGATTTAATGATGCCATTTAATTAGGACTTGACTGGAGAAGTGACTGGTTAAAGTTGCCTGTAATAAGTGCAGATACAGAAAATCTTTTAAAATGGAAAACCAGTAGAAATTCATGCCAAAAATGTCTCTGGTTTAATCCTCTTGTGAAAGGCAAAGAACTGACAGGCTGTCCTTACAGAAGCTCCTGTCCATGAGCAGCAGCCTCTCTGAAGGGCAGTGGGGGTGGTTTTATTAAGCCCTCTCACTCGGTGGGGTGGCCATGCTGTTTTTCCCATATTACCTTGCTGTCCTACCTGCTGTAGCACCTGCACACACCTGTGTGGGACAGCAGGTCTGCAGCTGGGGCTGGAATTAGTTCCAGTTGTGCTGGACAAGCTCCTTTACCTGAGAATTTTTGTAGCCTGTGCACTGAGAGCTGGTGGAACCCACCATGAGCTGTCCCCACCAGCTCCTTGCCCGGCAGCACTGCTCACTGCACCCCGGGCAGGGCCTTTGCAGGGCTTTGGGCAGTGGCCCAGGCTGACCCAAGCCTGGCTCTACTGTGTGGCCTCTCTGAAGAAGGGCTGTGTGCATCCAGCCATTCCTCCCCAGGGACTCTGACTCCAGCTCCAGGCAATCCATGGGGTAAAGAATGTGGAGATTCCATCTCTGGGATGCAGCAGGTTCTGAGTGTGCAGGTGCCACTTTTGGGTGATCCACCCTTTGCCTTTGCACTTAGTCCTATAAGCAACATGTTATTTGCAATTAATACAAGTTTATTTACTTAAAATAGTGCCCTGTGCCTGTTGTGTTCCTACCCAGGTCTTTCATGTCCCATCCCTGGAAAATTCCTGGTCAGGTTGGATGGAGGTTCTGAGCAGCCTGACCCAGTTGAAGATGTCCCTGCTCACTGCAGGGGAGTTGGGACAAGATGACCTTTTAAAGATCCCTTCTAAACCAAACTAGTCTATGATTCCATCTTCTGCAAACTTCTCTTTGCAGAGAATCTTAAACCTATCTTTTGAGTTTTCCAGATAATTGGAAGGAGATGGAAAAGTGGATGCTCCTATTTTCTCTGCGATTTTGCACAATCAGGTGAAGCAGTGGGATCCTTGTCATACCAACCCTACAAGATCACCCAGCAGCCTGAGTGACTACAGTAGCTCCTGCAATGTTGTACCTTGGGGGCAGAGCAAAAGGTTTTAGGAAAATGTTCATAGTCTCTAGGTTTCTAATAAAAGACTCAGTGGAATCTCAAAGCTGCTTCAGTTCTGGGTTAGTATACTTTATTTTTTGAATGGACTTTGCTCTTGGTCTTCAAAATCATCTTCATCTCTAAGGATAATCTGATGCTAAGGCAAACCTGGTATCTTTTGAAGTATGCTAATAACCAGAAGGCAGGCAAAACTGGCTTCCTGAGGCTCCCATGCTGTGGAAGATTCCCTTGCAAGGTTACACCTACCCTCCAAAGCTCCAGGTGAACCAGTGAGTTGCAGAGAAGGGCCAGGCTGGATGGATCTCAGGAGCCAGATAGAGCATTGTGCACCCAGATCTAAATTGCCCTAGACTAATTTGGAACCAGGTGACACAAAAGGGATTTTAATCCTGTAGTGAGCAGATCTTCACCTAATGGGGGAATCTAATCTTGGATCTTGTCTCAGCTTTGACTAGCTTTTTCCATATTTTTGATGTAGATGCCATTCTCCAGGTTAGCTGGTCTTTTTAGTCTGGTGGGAAGCTAAATTCAGAGAGAGCAGATGAAGAGCTGTGTTGCTTTTAAGATGAAGACTTGGCTTTTGATGTTTGGTCAGCAGGAGGAGAAGGTCTTTCATTGGAGACCTTGATACAAATGGATCTGCACAGAGAAACAAAACTGGGTGGATGGTTTTGGTGTGACATTTAAGGCCACATTACAAAACCATGGGATAACTCTGTGCAATTTATACTTTTCAGGAATGCTGAAGAGAAGATTAGGGTTGCAATACTGGGAGAGCTGGACTGAGTGTGCTCAGAGCTCTTAAGCTCTTGGTTTACTGACTCTTTAAAAGAGCCTGGGATTACAGGGAGGGTTTGGACTGGGTTTTGTGATCCACTTCTCTAGCAGATCCTTGTCTGGGTGCTTTCCCAGCACATACCCTGGGACAGACACTTTCTGTCCACTCCCTTTTGGTCTGAAGTGGGGCCTTGCTGGCCCAGGCTCAGGATCACTGCAAGGGGAACACATCTTTTCTTGTACTGCAGTTTGGCTCTCCAAAGACATGTGGCATTGCCCAACATGTGTCTTGCACAGACTTGGCAAAGTTTAACTTACAAATCCACAGCCTTGTGCTGCTGTTTTTTGGAGCCTCCTTTGGCCTTTGTTCAGGACGCTTTAGATTGTCACGAATCATCCTGCTGCTGGTGCTGGCTTGGAAACAAAGGGGCTCTCTCTGCCCTCTCTCAGTTGTTGCCCTTCCAGGTCTCTCTGACAGTAATTCCTGTGGGTTCATTCATTTCTGCAGGATGGAAGTTGGCTGAACAGACAGGGATAATCAGTAATACCAACAGATTAGGGAGTGCTTTTTATCCAGAAGGTCTAAGCCTTTTCCAGAGGAAGTTGATATTATCTTTGTAATAGATTGTGAAACTGAGGCCAATGCCCTCTCTGCAGCGCTTGGGCTAGAGCACAGGTTGCTGACACCCATGCCAAAATGCTGCCCTGGGTGTTCTTTTCCTCTCATTTGCATCCCTGACCACCCACCCCCTGATGGTCCCAGTGCTGCCTTCCATTGTTGCTTTTGGAGAAAAAGAAGGAATTGTGCCCTTTTCTCCAGCACATACCCTCTGTGGTCTCAGTCAGATGTGTGCTATCACATGGCTTTTCTGGCTCTGCGTGCTTCTCCCAGTCGTTGTTCCAGAGGCAGAAAAACATGTTGGAAGAGTTATTGCTTTTCTCCTTTTTATTTGATGTTCTTTGCCTGTCTCTGCAGAGCCATTTAGATAAGGGGATTTATCAAGCTTGAACTAATTAACCCTGGATGTGGAAAGTCAGAATGGAGTGTTCCAGCTGTGAAGTCCTCAGACTTACCCTGAAGCAAACACGGGTCTGGAGGAATTTCACATCCCTTTTCCCTTGTCAGCAAATCCCTGTGGTGACCTTTTGCCATTGCCTTACCAGACCTCCCTCACTACTGTGCCACAAGGGTGCTGTGTTGGCTGCTCAGCAGCAGGACTGCATGGAGTGTTTGTGCTGCCCCTTCAAGGCTCCTGTTCTTAGAGGTTTTTTCTTTTATTGAGAAAGAGAGGGTTGATTTTGAAAGAAATCCAGTTATTTTACCTGTAGAAAGATGTTTTAGAAGTTGTTGCCAATCACTTTCTCAGTGCAGAACTTTCAGCCAAAGAGTGACTTTACAGCTAAAGGAGGGAAGCAGATACCTGAAAGCTCAGGAAGAGGAAAAAAGGGAAAAAACCCAGGTTGTTTAGCTGCCTGCACAGGGCCTTCAGAGCCTTCTCCACCTTGTTTCCTGTTGCCATAGGTCCAGTGAGTCTTAAGAGAATGACTACCCAAGACAGAGCTTAAAAGTTGTGGTTGGTTTGTCTGCTGTTCCTTGGCTGTGCTCGCTGGTGTCTCTCTGGGAAGTGCAGCAGGACTCTGGTCCCAAATGTGTCCTCCTGCCAAGGGTAGAGAAGGATCCAGACAGAGCTGCTGCACTCTGAACCAGATGAGAGACCTCCATGACACACATCTGGAGTCAGTGAAAAACATGAGGGCTTCTAACAGAATCCAAGCCAGAGGAGAGAAATAACCTTGTGCCTACTTCAAAGCACTGATCTCTTGTCAGCAGGATCAGAGCTGAGTCCTGGTTCACATGGGAATCCTTGTGAATCCTCCTATTGCTGCAGCCATGAGGCTCTGTCTCTCCTCCAGGAGGGTGAGGGGTGGGAGGGAAGGGCGTCATTCAATCATGTGGAGGAAGGTCAGTCACACTTCCACCCTTGCAGCTCCAGATTTAGTGCCTCCCTTTGGCAGTGACCCCTCTGCAGTGTCCCCGAGCCCGTGTGAAGGTCAGCAGAGCAGTGATGAGCTCCCTGGGAACTCAGCACAGACCTTCCACTTGAAGGACCAGACCTCTGACAAAAGCTCAGGATTCCAAGTCAGGAGGTGATAAACTCTATGGGAGATGTTCCCTGCAGCCTGGAAAGGTGCAGAATTCCTGTGTGTTGGGTTGCCAGAACAATAACACCCTCCTTCTCTAAGGAGCAGTTTTGTTAAAGGTATGAAGTTTGCAGACACATTTCATGGTACATTTTTTTTTCTAGAATTATCTGCTTAGGTTTTTTTTTCCTTTTTCCCCTGTGCAGTAGAACTCTTTCCTTCTTTGTGACCTAGACTGGGGAAATAGAAATAGTCTGGGTTAAGGGAAAAAATTAAAAGACTGTTTTTTCAAGGTGGAATGGTTCCCTGGGCCATATGTGGTACAGATGCACCAGCAGCTTATTCCAGCACATGGGAGATGAGGCAGGGATTGGCAGGGAGGGGACAAGGGGTGAGCCATACCCTGAGCTGCTCTTGCTGTCAGGAACTCTTGGCCAGGTGTGGACTGACACTGAGAGAAACACTCAATATCTCCAGTTCACCTCCTCTCTTTTGTGACTGCAAGTAGATCTTGAACTCAGTGTAACTTCAGCCCCTGTTCATTTGGATTTTTTACTGTTTTTTCCAGATAGCCCGACAGGAAGGAAGAGTCATTTTGACCTCTGGACTCCCATATCACACTGTGAGTGTTCCAAGCTGCTGGCGTGTTTCTGGCACTGATCATTGCATGGTCTGGTGTGTGCAGGGGAGACAAGAGGAAAAGTCAGACGTGAATGCAACAGCTGGCTTGGATTTTTCATGTTTTCTCCACTAAAAGCTACATTTAGGGTCTTCAGAGGTTTGCTGTTCTCAACCACCAAGGCTCAGGGTGAAATGCTTCTTTATGCTTACATTCAGTTGTGTATCATGGCGAGAGCGATTGCTCTCCATTGGGGGTGGGGGTGGAAGTCAAGCCAAGCAATCCAGAACAGTGTGTTTCTGTCTGGCCTCACTGGCAGGTGAAAAGGCAGCTCAGTTGCTGTGCTTTTTATCCCAGAGATTCTTGCTTGCTGGCTGGCTCCACACTGAGAGAGTTTCAGCCCTCAGGGACATTTCTTCAGGCTTGGAAGGGGGAGATTGGAAGGCCCCAAGCAAGAGTCTGGTGGAAGCTGGAGAGGTTTTGTATTGCTATAGATAAACAGAAAAGCCAAAGCAAAGGCCAACCTTGCCCTCAGCACCACCTGTTCAGAGCTGTTCACAGACACGCTTCAAAATGCAGTGCTGAAGCTGCCAAGTCAGTGCTTGCAGTGCTGTGATGTCCTGTTGCAGGTTCTTTGCCATTTTTTACTGCCTAAACATCTATTTGGAAGAGTGAAACTGTTCTGGATGAGCCAGAGTTCTGTTCACATGAGCAAGGGTGCAGGACTTCTTTGTCACAAACTGTCAGTATAAAATCTCCCAGCTACTTGGGCAGCCACTCAGAATATTTGCAGAACAGGGGTTGCTGACTTCCTATGGAAAATCAGAGTGGAATAAAACTCCTCCCATAATGAGACACTGTGAGGCACATGCAGCCACCCTGCAGGTTCCTTGAGCCTACAGCTGGTGGAATAGGGAATTCAGCATCCAGCGTCATCTTGTTTGGCAGAGCTCTAACTTCAAAGTACTGTGTAGGAATTCCAAAAGGAAAATAACTGCTTCCAGGGTACAATACTCCTGGGAAATGTCTGGTTCTCTCCATTCCCTTGCCTTTGGATGCCCTCCACAAGGATGGGATGGCTCTGCCAGGCTCCTTTACTGGTGTATAGCTGATTCCACTCCTGTAAGTCCTAAGCATGGTCATCAAGATGTGTCTGGGACTTCCCAGTGCTCATTCCCAGATGCACTTCTCTGCAAAGTGTGGAACAAACATTGAGGGGCTGCCCACATCAACCCCATCAAATTTCTTGGCCACCGGGGAACTCCAGGTGAAACGTTTGTGTGAATCAGAGGGGTTGAAGTGGTCACTGGACACTGATTCCATCATTGTGCTTTGGCACACTCTGTGGGATCTGGTCAAGTTTCATCAGAAAGCTGGGATTGAATTCAGTTTCCTTTTGCTGCCCCTGTTAGCACCACCTCACCAAATTGTGAGTTGACAGGACTTGGGTATATTTTATAGAATAGAATAATGGAATTGTTAAGGTTGGAAAAGACCTTTAGGATTATCAAGTCCAGCTGTTAACCCAGCATCACCACCGTGGTCCCCACTAAATTATGTCTCCAAGTGCCACATCCAGATGACTCTTGAACACTTCCAGAGATGACACTTCCAACACCTTCCCAGACAACTCATTCCAATGCCTGACCACCTTTCTGTAAAGAAATGTTCCCTGAAATCCAATCTAGACCTCCCTTGGAGCATCTTGAGGCCATTTCCTCTTGTTCTGTCACTTGTTAGCTGAGAGAGAAGGCCAACCGCCCCTGGCTGCACCCTCCTGCCAGGGAGTTGTAGAGAGTGAGAAGGTCTCCCCTGAGCCTTCCTTTCTCCAGCCTAAATCATATTTCATACACATAAAACCATGCAGTGCTTCAGGAGTCAGAGCTCTTTCAGCAGTGGCTGTTAAGTTACCATTTGTGGTGCTCAGACCAGAATTCAGACTGTAAACACACCCTAACTCCAAGCATTATTCAGAATTCAAACCAAGCCAAGACTATCAGAACAGCTCCACGTGCCCTGACGCGCGGCCTCACTGGTGTCTCTGGTTTGCAGCTGCGCTCCCAGGTGGGAGAAGGAAGGTGTTTCTCTGTGAACTGCTCCGAGAAGGCGAAGGAACAGGCGCTGCAGGTGCTGAAGCACTTCAACGTGCAGGTGTCCCTGGGTGACATCTTCAGCCGCTGCCAGGTAGGACGAGGCTGGCTCCAGCCCCGGCTCCCGCTCACTCACCGCTCCCTGCGCTGCCTCGGTGTCCTGGGCCTTGCACTCGGTGCCTTCTTGGTTCCCAAGAGTTCTGCTTGAACTTTGGCAGCACCTGGCAAAGCCGTGAGGAGTTCTGAGTGCGGTCACATCCGTCACAGTGCTGGGGGCTCAGTCAGAGGATCAGAGGCTCTGCATCTGCAGCTTTGCTAGAAACTCGCCTGTTTTTCTGATTTTTGGTACTTGGCCTGTGTTTTGGCATCAACTGTCATGGTTGGACTCTCTTTGTTGCTGTGTTCTCTGTCTAGGACACATGCTGTTTTAATTATAAACCATGTTTAATTATGGCTCGGTGATTCTGTTAACACTTAATTACTTTAATAGGAGGATTTTTTCATAGGACTTCTTTTTTTTTCCAGAAGCTATTAGGTTAATTCATGTCCATGCTAGTTGATGGCTCCAGATTGTGTTTGGCACAGGATATCTGTGGATTGCTGTTCAAGAATAAATTTTAATTGTGTTAGCTCAAATCACCATCTCTTCCAATTTTACTATTGTGTTTGTTACAGCAACACGCCGAAACCTATCCCTTCCCAAACTGCATTATAAACCAACAGGGAGCTTCAACATCTCTCACCTTATCAGTGTTTAAAGAGAGAAAAAGAAGCAAGTTGGTTAGAAAATTTGCTTTTTCTTAGGGATAAACAAGACAGTGAGTCTGGCTCCGTGCCTCATGGTGGAGATCTGGGGTTTCCTGGCCCAGTGGAATTGCACAAGTGGTGTAGGAGCAGACACACCAGAGAGCATGTCCTGAACCTCTGTTTATATTTTCTGTCAGATGCTGAAACTGGATCTGTAACTTAGAAAGCAAATGAGAGTTGTCCAGCTGGGCAGGTTGGCTGTGAGAGGAGACTGATGAAACTCCCTACAGATCGGATCCGCAGAACAGGGGTTCATCTTACTGCAGGATAAATGGATATATTCAGCTATGGGATACTGCCTTCAGTCCTGTGGTTTTATTGTCCCAGAACAGATTGCAGTTGTTATACATACATATATTTATAGTGGCATGCTGACTTCTTGCTGTTTTAAACAAACCTTTAAAAAACCTCATGGATTCTCCAGTTCCCTGACATCCCATACAATAGCAGTGTTCCTCCTGATGGTTGTTGAAATACTACAAAAATAAGCGCGCACACACGCACAAAACCATGATGCAGGAAACTCTGTGCTCTCTAATAAATGCACGAGACTGTGCAGCAGACAATGGAAAACTGACCCCTCACCCAGGATCTGAGGTCTGGAACTGGTTAACTCTATGGGTTTAGTACATGCTGTCTTAGTTTACAATATAAATAGGGGTAATCAATCTGGCTAGGAATATATACTAAGTGTTCTCTTACTTCCAGGAGAAATGCCTTCCCTGGAAATTGTGGTGGTGGAACAGCTGCATGTTTTATACCCCTCAGCAAGGGAAGATGCTGATTTGCCAAACCTCTCCCTGTTCTGAATCATATTTACCTTCATTTAATGCATTGGCATTTTGGAGCAGATTTTGCTCAGCTGTGCGGACAGCACAGGTTTGGCTGATGTGCTGCTCATCCTCTGGAGGAGAATCCCAGCTCTCCCAGCTGCATTTCCTGGGGTTATGTGCAAGGGGAGCCGTGTGCTGCACAGGCAGCAGGATCACCCTCCAGCACTCCGGAAAACTGAGAGCCCACATCAACAGAGGCAATTTCTGCCTTCAGGAGGGTGCTCCGGGCCTACACGGCCTACAGAGACCTCAGCAGTTCTTTTATACATCCTTCCTAAAACATCCTCATTCTTTGTAAACCTAATTGGGCTTAATTAGGATGGAGGCCGGATCCTGAAACTGCTGAGCTGTGCTTGCCAGCCTGTCTGTGCTGCTCCGAAGCTGGGTCACAGATCTTGTGGCTCCCAGACTGCTCTGAGGCCTGCTCCTCCTTGCAGAGCACTTTGCTGAGGGGTGACAGAGTGGCGACAAAGAGTTTTGGCTGCCCTTACTTTGGGGGAGCATGGTGGGCACACAAGCAGGGCTCCAGAAAGAGCTGAGTGCTGCTGTGTCTGTGCTAGGCAGGAGGAGGAGGAGGATGGGCATGAGCTGGGCCCCTCTCCTCATCTTCTGCTTGGAGCTGGGCCTGACCTACCAGCACGGGATGGGTTATCTGTGCTGTCAGCCCTGGCAGCGTGTCACAGGAAGCAATGTGGCATCCTGCCTGCTCCCTCTGTCTCATGGAGCAGGGACTTGTTTTGTCTCCTGAGTTCTGTTCTGTAAATGACTGGAGTGAATATGGCAGCAAATGTTGTCATAACAATTAATGCGTGTAGTGCAGAACACGTGGTAAAAATAGGTCCCAATTCAATGTTGTACCCAAGACTGCTGGAAAATACGTTTCCTCTGTCAGCTCCCTCAGCAGGGATGGATGAGCTCTCTTTTGCAGATGTAAAGAATGGGCTTGCTTTGTAACCCTGCCAAAATACTGCTTCTGTTAAAACAATGTCCAATACTGGCTACCTCTGTCTGACCTAGAGCAGCAAGTGCACAGGGAGTGTCATCCAGGAGCTGCTCAGCATTTCTGCACTCACTTGTGCTGGGCTTCAGCTTGGTCTCTCCAGTTAAAGGCTTCAGGAGTGTGGACTGCTGCCAAAGGTGTCAGTGATGGTGCAGGAATGACCTTTTCATTCCATGTATTCCTCAAGTGCTGCATTGTAAGGACTCAGTGATGATCCTGGTGAAGCCACCCCTGCAGAGTAGCTGGGCCTGGTGGCATCTTTGGAGAGGAATGTTTTAGTGGGGCTGAGTGAAAATAAGATTAATTCTATCTTTTGGTGACATGCAAAAAACCCCTATAGAAGTTCTACATTTCATGGCCTTAAAATGTTACAAACCCATTCCTTGTATTTGAAATGCAAATATCACATGCCTGTCACTTCTGCACACATTTGAGTATCTTGTATTTTTCTTATTTCCAGATAGCTGAAATACTTCCTTCTGGAAGGGACAGTGTGAAATAATGTTTGGGGTGTTCAGACATGATCAATTCAAGATGCTGAACCGTTACAGTAGTCAGGAAGATCTCTATGGAGTTGTTGGAGGCTGTTGTGGGCAACTTTAGCGTCAGCTCACAGCCTGACTCACCCAGGCAATCAGTGATGCTCTGCTTTCCACAGCTTGGAGGAGATTCTAACACAGAACTAGCAGTTAAAGAAGGAAAAAACACCCAAACCTGCTGAAGAAGGCATGGGCTCCAGTGCATAGGCACAGACAGCTGACAGAGGGGTCATTTTGTAGTGGGGTGAAATTCAGCTCCTCTCCTAGCTCCAGCAGTGGTTGTCTCCCACTCTTCCTGGTGCTGTCCCTGTTTGAAACATCCTGCTGTGACACTTGGGTGTGGCCTGGTGGGACAGAAGGAGAACATGAACTCCATGTCTCCATGTCATTCCAGTCTCTTAAATAAGAATGAATTGTCTCTGGAGAACAGCCATGTTTTGGCAGGATCCATTACCTGGATGACTGGTGTGACTTTTGCCATCTTGCTTTTCCATGCCATGTGATTGAAAGTCCACCCAAAGCAGGTGTGGGCTACGCCTCTGAACTTGCCACTGTGCCAGGGCCTTGTCACTGGCTGCTTGGTGAGCCCGAGGGCCCAGGACATTTCACTTCCCATGGCTGAGGTGTCTGGCCCAGCCAACTTGTGTCAGTGAAAGAACACTGGTGTGGAAGCAGATCAGTGGAGGCACAGGGGTGGCAAGCTTGGGGTGAGCAGTGCTGCTGACAGGGAGGAATCCCAGCTTGGATGGTGATAAACTGAGGAGATGAAAACTGCAAGTTTTTAGCTTTACCCTTATATCACAAGGGTTTGTCACTATGGCTTGAAGGGACAACTGTGTTCAGTGTTGTTTGGGCTGACCAAGAAATTCCTCCTGGAATCTGGAAGAACCTTGTGGTTAAAGGTTTCTAACTGCTGTAAAACCTCACTGGTGTGAGGCTCTGCAGCTGGATTTGGAGCCAGGAGGGCCTGTCCATCTGCAGAAAAGCTGTGCTGGGCTTTACTGAAAAGTGTAGCTGCTGCTCAGCTCAGTTCTGGGTCTGAGGCTTCGCTCGGGTACGGGGTGGGGGGGGGAGCAGGCTGGGGGACCCGGGTCCTGCGGAGCCGCTGTGCCACCCCCACCTTCCCCGGGCCTCTCCTTCCTTTCCCACCCTCTGTTTGACTTGACCCTTTAGCCTTTAAGCTGGCTGGGGCAGGGACCCCGCTTGAACAATACCTTACGCAACAGGAGGCTGATCCCAGGTGAGGTTTCAAGGCTTTCCTGCAAGGAAAAATGATTGCAATTATATCCCCTGCAAAAATAAATGTGCGAGGGGAAAAAAAATCCCAGGCTCCAGCTGCAGTTTGTGCATCTGAACAGCCCCACATTGACAGGGGGATTATCTGCACATTCAAATAGGTTGTCTCTTGCACGTCACTGAATGCTCTGATCCTAAATAAGCAAATTACATCAACTATTCTGATGTCCTGTTTAACTTATGACCTCAGCCTGAGCACTGCAGGATATGAGAGATAGCTGCTCAATTTCATTGTCTGGAGATCTGATATATTTTTCTATTTTTTTTGCCCCCCCTTCCCTGCTTTTTCAATTTCCAAACTACTCACCCCAGGTTTTACAAAGGTGTTAGCATGGGATTAGGAGTAGGCGGGGAGGAGGGGAGAGGAAGAGAGGAAACCCCCTTTTTTTTTTTTTTTTTTTTTTGAAATTAGGTGCAAAAGCATTCTAACAGTTGCAGCAAATGTTTCTGGTTTTTTGTGGTTAAGGTAACGAATTTCATTGCTGCAAAGCTCATCATGTGCAAGCTGACTTATGCAGAGGGAGCCCAGGATGGAGCAATCCATTTAGCAGGGACAAAGAAAAAAGCCTTATGATGAGATGGAAACCCTGTACTTGGGGCACTTTGTGAGAACCTTTGA